CTGTAATGAACTGGTGAAAAAATGCCTTTACAGTATTACTTTGTTTCATTATCTTCTTTCTATGAGGACATGTTAGCAAGATAAGCCATTTCTTAAGAATCTTTTTCTTGTTTCATAAATGAAATAAATGTTGTCTTCCTTTATTTTGAGTTTGTTAAAATTTCCAACATGATGTCCATTAAAAATGACTCTAGTATCACTCAGGACTAAAGCTATACAGGCAATTCCCATTGGTTACACCGGTTCAAATGTATATAAGGAACAGGCCAAAGCTTCCATGTGCTGGCCAAAAATATGCCATAAGATTAAAGACTTTATCAGAAGATATTTTTTCTGCAATCAGCATCAAACCAATGCTGTTTTTTTTAATCAATTTTTTTTTAATCATTTCACTCTAAGCAAGGCAATAATGCCACTAAGACGCAAATGAGTACTAGGAGGGAAAGACAATGAAAAGACTACAAGGATCTGGAAATTGAATCCTAAACAGGAAACAAGGGATAAACCCTGGTCTAATGGATATCAATGATGTTATTGTAATTGGCAAGCTGAGTTCAAATTCCAGTTGAGTTCATTGCATTCACTTTCACACAAATACTTTTGGGAAAAGTATGAATCCATTTCTTTCCCCACTCCAGCTATGGGTTAAATAGTAAGGTAGGCTCGGCTCTTCACACTTGGTTGGCAACCAGTCTATGTGAAAGACAACTCTGAATCTAAAATTGGTTGGGCAACTACTAGTAACACCATCCCATAAAAATCTACTTGCGAGAGAAACAACAACAGTAACAGCTAGTGTTTTTGAGCTGTGGTCTCATACTCCTCACTTGTTACCATGCAGTGGTAGCATCCTGCCGATTTGTATGAACCAATTCTTAAAATTATAAAAGCTTAGCAAACTGCTAGTTGGATTATCTGAAAATGATCTTATACCAGGTGTAACAGCAAAATTGTCCAAATCGTGTAACAGCAAATTGTTCAAGTCTTAGATTAAGGTTTGAACTGTTCTATCTTAGAAATGATTAAAGATATCTTACTGGAATTCTCCGAGGTTTTTATAAGACTATTGGACTCTACTTTGAGCAATAAGAATGTATAATTATTCTCCAAGCTGAACAGAAGAATCATGATAAAATTGATCATAAACGAAAATGACATGTTCATCATTAATTAATCATAGGTAAGGATCAGAAGCTCACGAAAGATTGAAATAAAGTTCAAATATATATATATATATATATATATATATATATATATATTATTCCAGGATCATTTTCCAATTTATTCAAGATGATCTTCACCCTCTCTAACCCTTCTAACTTTCTGTCCTGCAGTAACAAGGTGTCTCACAGGTTTCATGCATGGTTTCATTTTCAAATATTTTTCCTCCTGCCATTGCTTAATTGGGAAGGCAGTGGGGCTGACACAAAATGATTTTAACCTCTTCTCTTTCAAGCTGAATAACTCAAAGGATTTTTCAGTGATTCTTACAAAAAATGGTGTCAAGATGGCTAAACGTCTTATCTGAAAACCTGGAAAAAAGAAACTCAATTACTTTAGTGATTTTTTAGATATTAAACATTTAGTTTCACCAACCTACACAGAGTTGACGACCACACACACATACACGAGAATATAAAAATTCAATCAAATCCAGAATTATTTTGCAACATATCACATTTCACGGACAAAATATGAGAGTGACATGTGTAGACTTCCCTCACATACACACTTATACACTTACATGAATTAATGTTACCATCCTACATATACCTACATACACAAGTGTTTCTTTACTTATACACTCTTACACTATCATATACTTTAACATCCTAAATGTTCCACACACATATTTATATATTATCTATTGCGTTAATGCATATGGCACATGTGTAGTGGCTGCTATGTTTTTCCACACCCACATTTTATTCATCTGCGATTGGCTAATAAATCAATACTACCTTTCTATAGGACAATTTAGCCATCGCAGTCATTTCTTTGAATCCTTTGGTTTTGAGCTTGCTTGCCTGTTTTCATTAGTATGAATGTAGTGATTGGTTAATTTTTAACCAATCACATATTTTTAATGCAGGATTAACTTTTCCCGTGCTTCTGTGAGAGCCTACTTTTTTCTTTAAAAGAGGCGACTTTTTCACAAGTTGTCAGTAGGATCCAGTAAATTTTGCCTGTCAAAACAAATCCACGATCTTACTCATAACATTTCAAACACAGACACAGAATTTTGTAATACAAACTCACACTTTTCTCTGTGACTTAGCCAAGTTCAACCAACCAGGACTCTGTTAATATTGAACCAATCGATGACACAACACAATTTTTGATCAATTGTATTTTTGTGTTATCTATTCTAACAAACAGTCCTTTGTTTTAATATTGATTCCTGAACATTTTTCTCTCACGAGAACTTTCTTTGAACAATCAATTACAAATCAAAATACAATTAAAGGGGAACAACTTCTTTCCCTTAATCTATACATTGAATACAATTTTATTACATGTTTTGTTCTTGTATGTTATTTCAATATATACTTGTTGATTCACAGTTTGGAGATTTTGTTGTTTATTTGAATCCTGTACGTTGAAAGTATAATAATATAAATAGTATTGGTCCATCTACCCACTGGGCCATTACACATGTCTGACCAATGAGAACTACCAAAAATCATCACATTCCAGTACTCTGTCTCTGCTTTTTTCATTTCTATTCTTGATCTCTGACGAAGCCTTAATGAAAGTGAAAGATGTTAGATTGAAATACATTTCCTACTTTGTTCTTTATTTTATTTTATCATCTTGTTGCATTCCTATCCATATCTGATGTACATTTGATCTTCAACTCATATATATATATATATATATATATATATATATATATATATATATATATATAAAATAAATGCGAATGTCAGTGTGTCACTGTGTCATACTTTTTCAACTTTACTCTTAGAGGCTGTAGTCCAACATATCATACCATTTTGGAATCAGGCCGACTCCATGAACAAATTAAAATCATTTGGGGTTGACTTTGGTAAAAAAATGATATGAAAGATTATTCTTGAAGATCATTTTCAGAACATCAGAAACAAAACAATTAATAAAATATAACAATCTAATAAAATACAAAAACAAAATAAAATATAAAGTCCTGAACCTGGCCTCTCGGCTGCAGTCACTTTCCTGCCACCGTAATGAAGGTTCCCTGTGCCTTTTCTATAAATATTTTTATGCTAATTGTTCTAACAAGCTTTCCTCTTTAGTACCTAGAATTTAAGCTCAGTACTAGATTGGCAGCTAGGTTCCATCATTTTACAGTTGAAATTGCTAGATATAACTGTAAATTCTATGCTAATGATTTCTTCACTTTTTAGTTTTTTAAAAAATAAAATTAATAAAAAATAAATCATGTGTTTTAAGACTGTTCCTGGAACTGTAATGTCTTCTGATTAAAAAAAAAAAAAATAAAAAGGAAAGAATGTTATTGTTAAATTATTCTATAACTGTATCAAGTTCCATCAAAAATAAGTTAAGAACATTATCAGTTTGAACTCTCTTAGTAATGTGATATTCCATTGTTATGGTGAAGAAGACATAACTCAACACCAGTAGGTAAAACTTGTAAAAACAGAATATCTCATTAAAAAGTAATGAGAACAGGTTGCTAATACATTGTCTTCTGTTTATTTTGATTTACATTCAGTTGTCTTTAGATATTTTAACTTTTTTGTTTGGTTTGTTTTGTTTTATAGCATATCAACTTCAATGGGTATTTAATGCTAACAAGATTTTTATTGCTGGTAATATTTTTTTTTTCAAAAATGTATTGCTGGTAATAATTTATTGCTGGTAATAATTTTTTACAATGTATTTCTGGTATTAAAATCTACTTTTACACTTTCATAGTGTTTTGACCCCAGTTGGGGTATTAACTATTTACCCATAGCTGGGACCCTAACAGGTGCTACCACCCTGAGTCAGGGTGAACAGGGGAACACCAGCAATTAAGAGGTGGTTCCACACTCCTCAAAACCTCCCAATCAGAAGCTTTGCTGTTGGACGTAGTTTATTGTCTTACCCAGGATGCAGATGTAGTTTATCGTCATAACCAGGATGGATTTTTAATTTTAATGTTTGAAAAGTAGAATTCTTTTATACAAACAATAATAGAGTTAGCTGTAAAAATCCTAGATTATGCATGGAGAAAATATAAACAATGTAACTGCAAAATTAATTCAATGTAACCGTAATTTTTTTTATAGTACACTTATAATCAAAATGAATTGAGATGGCACACTGACTTTTAAAAATCAGTTTTTGTTTGGCTTGATGTTTTTAATTTCTTAAATGTATTTTCCCTTAATATTGATTTTGAAAAAAGGAAATTAGACTCTAGTAAACTGACTCTCTTAAAAATAGCGGTTTTATTTCTTAATTTTTAATTTAGAAGATTTAAATTATTTTTGTTTTCTTTAATGTCTAGCTGTGCACATGGTGTTATTACAAAGAGTCGGCCACGTGTCTTAGGATTCGTCGTCTGCTGCATGGACGAGAGTTACGGCCCTTGTAACGCGTGATTTCAGCGAGATTTTTCCGCCATATTTGACACTACGTTCTAGCTGAGAAGCTAGGGGGTAACAAGTGAAGTCGGTTAGTGTCACCAAACAGCTCCAGGGTGAAGCTTTTTGTCACATTTCCAGACGTCATCGTCCCCTTATTAACCGTGTCCTTGTCTTGGCGGCACAAAAGTGGCGGCCCTGGCAGAATAGAAGCGGTAGAAGGGGCTGCAGGGGTGTCAGGTGTTGGCCTTCCTTCCCTCTCGCTTTAGTCGTACCAAATCACAAACACAACAAAACAAGAGAGACAGTGTTAGGAGATATATCGAGGGAGAGAGAGCGATTAGCCTCTCTTTTTTTGGGTAGAAAGTGGCCAAAAACGTGACTGAGCATAGCGGCCACACTTTTGGCCAAAGAAATAAGGAATGCATGCCTCTCTCAAGCGTCTCTAAGTACGCTTCTCAAGAACATAGTCAATCTGAAGAAAGTACGAATCATAGAAAAAGACCGTTGAGTAATTCGGACGGTGTCGATATAAGAGGACTGGTAGCAGTCTCCACTACTGCAAGCAACACCAATAACACTTCCAGTGTTGGCAATACAGCTAACAATTCTGCTAGTGTTAGTACTGCCACCTCTAGCAATTCTTGTACTATAAAACCTTTCCCCGAAATCCCTTCCTGTTCGGGAGAGTCTTCTATCGGCATAACTCCATCATCATCTCACTCGCCGCAGTCTTCGGATCCGAGTCCAAAAAGGATTAAATTGTCCCCTAATAACGATAACTCTGACCCTACACCAAGTGGAAATACTACCAAGGTCCTGCTCACTAGTGGAATCTTAACTTCTTCGGAAAACAAGGAGGAAAACGAAGCTGGGACTAGCAGTAGTGGCTGTTCTGTCCAGGAGCAAAGAAAAGAAAGGGACAGAGACGACAAGAAACAGGGACAAGAAGGCAGGGAGGAAAACCAAGGCGAAGGCGATAATAAAGACGGGGAAGTCAATAGCCGATCATTGGTTCCAGGAGAAGAGCAAAAAGCAGTCGTTGAAAAATTAAAGGCAGAAGAGGGTGAAAATAGTCGCGGTGGAGATTCGGAAACAATGACAGAGTCTGAGAGACGACCCAACTTCTCGGCACTGACAACACCAAGCAATGGTATAAGCAGACATGCATCTCCATTGAATGCCAATAGACCTGGGGCTGCGAAAAAATTGGTTATCAAAAATTTTAAAGGTGAGATCAACTCTACCCTCCCCACTTAACAAAAAAATAAAAAAAAAATAAGCAAAAGTGTTAGGTAGTTGTAGATATATAGAGGAATTTAAGTGAAAACTAAATACGTAAAAACACTTTTTTTTTTTTTTGTCTTTTTAAATTAAAAATTTCAAACGCTCTTCTTTCTTTACTCTCTACACTTTTATTTTCAATTAAAAAAAAACATTGTTTTATTCAAAGATTGCAATCACATACAAGTTAAACCTGAATAATATAAATAAGGTAGAAATAAAGTGGTGTGAGTGAAATGTACATCGTTTTTTTATTAAAGAAAATGTTACTGAGTGAAGAAGACATTTAATTTCCACTCCAATAACTCCTTAAGTAAAATAAACATAATATTTTTATTAAAAAAAGATTTATTTTATTTTTTTTAGAATATATGATTCAATCACTTGTGATCATTTATGTGTGTGTACAGTACACCAATCCAATGAATCGACGTATCTCAATATGAATAAATATAAAAATTTTACACACTGATAAAATAAAATGTTTTATTGAGGTGCGTCGATGTATTTGATATTGGTTTTAAATACTGCTTTGATTACTATTGTATTTTTCCCCCTGTTTTATAAGTAAATAATTTTATTCTTTTCCTGTGTCTAATTACAAACAATACCATGACGTGATCTAACTAAAACTAGTTAGCAGAGCTTAGACTTTTTCGTAACTGGAGGCAAATTAATAGTAGTACACGAATTTATTGGTTGAATGAATTATTTGTAATTTTCACTCTAAAATCGTAAACAAAAATGTTTATCTTTGTATCAAATTATTTTCTTAAAATTAAATACCTATATTTCTCCCGATCATAGCTTTTAGTTTTATTTATTCTTTTCTTATATATTTTTTCTTTTTTTCAATGCACTACAGCAGGAGCCTGTTTTCTTTGTAAATTGTAGTAATTTTGTTTTATAATTTCGGCAACTTTTCAGTTTTCCCTCAGATTGAAAAGACAAGATTTTAATTATTAAAAAAAAAATTAATAATATATTAAAATGCAAATAAAGTGCGTTATTTTTGCTTCTTCTTGTGGTGGTAGCAGGCAGCTCTGCTAACACCTGCCTTCAGTGACGTCACAACCGTTCAGTGAAGCATTCTGGGTAATTTAAAGATGGCAGCGCGCAGAGTTCCATGTGCTGTAATCTTTTCGTTCCAGCTGATGGTTTATCTTTTCATTTTTCTCTAAAATGTTTGGTTTTTAAGATCCTACCCACTAGTCTTTTAAGAACTGTAGAAAATAAATCTATTTTTTTTTTATCTTGATTCATATTTATTTTAAAATCTAATATTTTTTCCTTTTTTAAACTTTCAACATCATTTTTTATTTTAATTTTAGTTGTTAGATAATATTTGAAATCGTAAAGGTATACTTTTACGTAATCAAAAGTTTTTCATAAAGATATTTTCATATGAAACAAAAACTGATTAGTAGATGATTATCTCTTTGATTTGTTGCTATCGCATTTATTTCGATATTCATTTTTAAATTTTATAGTTTCTTAAATTAAAATCGACATAATTGTCTTTACAGAGGTTAAAAAGCGCTTCTTTAGAAACCGGGCAATATTGGCAAAATCCTTTTATTTATGTATTATTTTACATGTTATCTAGGATTCTGCTTCGAAGATGCTCTTTCTGTGTGTGTGTGTGAACAGTTTACTTTATCGCAAGACACTAAGTAAAACAAACAAAAAAAAAACTTTAATTTTTGATTCATGGTGATGTAACCTGAAATGCAAATCTGCAGTAGAAATTCCTTAGCTTATGGATCTTCTTATATTTTTCATACCTCCGTTGACAAAAAATTCAAACAAATAACTAACAATTAGTTTTATTTTTAAAACAACTCCAAATTAGATAAGCTGAAATCGAGGTATTTTTTTTTTTTATTCATTTCTTTTAGAAATAATGTAACTTTCTCTTAAGGTTCATAACGTGTTTCCAATAATAAAAATTTTCATTGCCTTTTCATGTTTTACTTACAGTATCAAAGAAAAAAAATTAAAACTCCTCTTCACTTAAAGGGGCAATTCGCAATAACAAGATGTCTCATCACATTTGGAAATGTTTTGCTTTTCTCTTAATTGCATTTTTTTTGTTTTTTCCTGCTCGTTTTGTACCTGATAAGATATTGTCGCATATAACTAAGATTTTTAGTTCCCGATTGACCAAAAAAGAAACCAATTGAATAAAAATATTTTCTCGGCAACTTTATTGAAAATCGTTACACATTTTTTTTAAGTCGTGCAGAAGTTAGTTTGGGTTGAGAGTAGATAACGGGTGGGTCAGTAGCCGAAAAAAAAAATGAACCTGTTGTAATTAGTTATGATGGTGTTTAGTTTTTTTTATCCTAAAAATCCACTGTCATTCCGGCTGAGTGATTCAATGAAAATACATAACATTTGAGTTGTGACGAAATTGTGGATTTGTCCCCCACCTCCCTCAACTTTCAAACCTAGGGTGTCGCAAATACTTGATTTTGATCACGTCATTGAAATGCGATTTTTTGAAACAAAACAAACTCATCCAATATAGCAGAATTTTAAATATCAAATTTTATTTGACGGTCATCCCAGTACAGTAATAAAAAAAAAAAAAAACTACGAAAAAATCCGTTGTTCATTGTTTTCGATACTGTTAAGTGTGAATTTCCTGATTTTTGTTTAAATTCAATTTAATAAAACTTGCACCCAAATCAAGCCTCCGAAAAGAAATTATTGAAGATCTTTAACCGGAAATGAACACAAAAACAGACTTAACTCGAAAGTTTTCGCCAAATGCCGGAAGTTATAAATCTTTTGATGCCAAAATTATATATAATATATATATATATATATGTGTGTGTGTTCATGATTAATGTTGTCCAAGATGTCGTTTAAGATGTTGTTAAAAATTTAGAAATAATTCAATATTGTCTTTTCTGGAATGTCCTTTTTTTTTTTTTTTTCCGCTGTTTTAGATTAGCTTTTATTCTTTTGTCGATTGTTGGATGTCATTCGTTAAAAAAATGTAAATTTGGTCTTGTAATTTGGCTTTTGGTTAGTTTTTTTCTTTTTTACTGTAATGGAAAGTTTTTTTTTTTTTCGTATTGATTTGACCATAAAAAAATAGTGATTTTTAAAATCATTTGTAGTGTTTACATCCAAGCAAAAAATAATCCTGCTGTTCTTTTAGTTTTAAGTTTTACACAAACAGAAAGAAACGAAACTTCAAGATCCTGCACATGATTTTTTTTTTTTTTTTTTTTTTTTTTTAAGAAACAAAATTGATTTTCGACGTTTCGTTATCAAATCTTTACAACAATCAAAATTAAACGATGTATTTGATCGTCTCCCCCCACTAATGAAGTCTAATGGGAATTTTGAGGCCTTGGCACCTGTACAGTATTTTCTATAATTTCTTGTTTGAATTATTCATTTTATTTATTTCAATTTTAACTTCATAAATAACGATCATTTCAGTTCAATGCTTATGGCTGAAAAACGCAAAAATAAAGGTGGCATACTTATTTCTGATCCCCCCGCCCTACCATACTGTTTTGTTTTCTCGTTACCCCCCCCTAACCGTCGTTTTTTTTCTTCTGTAGTAGAAATTGTCTTTAAAACTTGACCCCCCCAACAATTGTTTTCGTCTTGCTCTTCGGGTCTTCGTTGATTCGTATATTTCTTTTGCTCCTTGCTGATATTTTAACCCCCCCCCCTTAAACTAGTTTTCTCTTTCTACCTTTTGTCATCATTATTAGGTACTAAAGCTTTTATATTCTGTTGTAGTTATTAGAACTTCATCTACCCGACATTTAAATGTGATATTTCAAAATCACTAATAAAGACACAGTCTCTAGAGACCATTTCTTTTTTTTGGTGTTGTAAAGCTAAAAAGTGTAACAACAATCAGCTGGACAACGACATCTAGCTTTGGCTTTTTAGAAAAATTACACGAGTAACTTTTTTTTAAGTAACGAACGACAACAGATGATGATGTATTTTTACTCCATCGTATTTATTTTATTTCTTTCGCTTGCTGCTGCGACAATTTATCAGTAGAGGTTGTTTTTTTTGTTTTTTTTTTTTGCGGGTGTGTAACACGCACCCCGACGACAGCTTTTTCTTTACAACTATGATTAGCACTTTTTTTTTCTTTTTTTTATCCTGCTTTACTCAATACTTTCTGGAGAGTTGTTAATAAAGGCAACATTTGTTCTCGATCAGTAATTACATTTTTTTTTGTATTGCCAAATAATATTCAATATGTTCACTTCACATTTCGCGTCGTAGAAAAAAAAAATTGTAAACAACTTTTCGAAAAAAATAATTAAAATCTCTAATAAAATAGTCTTTCTCGTTTTTCACTTACAAATTGTCTATACAACCAAGCTAGATTCTAATTTCGGATTTGATTTTTATAGTTCTGTCCTCGTTTTGTAATTGTATTCTCTAAATTAAAAAAAAATCTTTGCTATATGAGTTACTGTAAATAACTTTCTACTGCGACTGCTAATTTTGTTTCACGTTTTAGATCTTTCCAGTTTCAACTCGACTAGCAACGATCTGTTGAATTTCCTTTTCTAGCCATCGTCTTTTATTTTCTTTCTTTTAAATCTTTTATTATTGTGTAAACTCGAGATAATCATCAGATGCAAGTTTACTGTCTTCTTGTCCCTCTACAGAACGAAAGGCAACAAAAGTAAAGAAAGCATTAGTTGTCAATATGTCAAATTTTATGATTCTTTTTGTTTTTTACTGGCGAATAGAGAATTATTGCATTTATTTTCTATATGCTCTCCTCTCCCATTTGATGTGAATCTAAATGTGAAACCCCAAAAAGGCTTTAAAAACAAAAAGCACCAATATTTTTTATATAATTAAAATTGACAAATGTTAAAAATGAATTATCTCTATCCCTCTCTCGTTTTCTTAATTTTGTTTTTGTATTTTTCAACAATGCACTTTGTT